CACCACTGAAAGCAGGAGATGTTGTAGTAGTTGTCGACGAGACTCAGCCCAGGAACCGGTGGCCTAAAGGAGTCGTGGTAGACGTTGTGACAGCGCAAGACGGCCAGGTCCGACGCGCTACAGTTAAGACAATCTGGTCTAATGGAGCGGCCTGCTACAAAATTGGCGATTCTGGACGTCGGCCATCGTGAGGAGTAAGCTAAGCGGACTTGCTTACGTGGGGGGGAATGTTGCCGCCGTTCCTACAGGGACACATTTCACTTGCTCCTACAGGGCATGGCGCTAATCTGATAACAAAAGGGATACACCGCTAGTTATGCGTATTGATATTCTATATGTACATATGTATGTATATGATGCATTTTGCACTTAATGTGTTTGGTATACAAGAATTCTCAATCTCTTTGAAATTTACTTTGAACATCATTGTGTATGTATGTAAATTTATTTTCATTCCCGTTGCAAATAGCGTGAAGTTCCAACTATGTAAATAGCATATATAAGGGCCGAAAATTAAAACGGCTCAAGTTCGCTTGTAAGCCCACGTGAAGTAACAAATATTTTTTAAAGTCCTCGATTGAAATTATTGGAAAATAAACTGCATATTCTAAACGCAAAACTTGAGTTCTTTAGAATTTGTTCAGAGTCGTGGGTGAACTCGTTAAAGTCGTACTTTAACAAATCTACAGTGGCAATACCTGTTTTATTAACGAAATATACAAAATAAAAGTGAATAAAGGATTTGGTTTGCATAAAATAATAACCGGAGACGGTTTAATAGTGTTTTAAAAGTGTAAACTGGTTATTTAGCGCATTTTTGACGTGGTAATTGCTCATAGAAAACAACGAAATTTAACAAAAGTTTTTTGTTTATAACATTTAAATGGTTAATAATATTAACCCTCCCCCTCCAGATTGGTAATAGGGGGGCCAAAACGCGTCGTTTGGTATCCCTCCCGACTTTTCCGGGCCTTTTTTAGGGGTTGTTACCCTACACTAGAGAATTACCTAAAAAACTAATGAATAGGTGCTCAGTTGAGTTCCTTTACTCCATATATTTGCGTCAAATTCATCAAAACATAGTGCGAAAAGTGCAAGTATTTTTTGCGAATAACTCTTTAATAAATTAAAAAGTTGAATTTCCGGTGTCGGATTATTGTTGTTCGCATTAAAACGCGTCGATTGAAACCCCTCTTGAATTGTTTCATAAATTTTGGCCTACTTTCGCTAAAGTGCACTTTTACCGCAAAAAACAGCCCATAATTTAAGCATTAAAAAGTTCGATTTGAAGAATTCCCCAAATTTGGAGCTAAATTCGATTAAAACGCCGAGTTCGATTAAAGTCGAATATCGACTTTACCCATTCCTAATTCCTATTGTCGGAGAAAAAAAAGAAATAGCTATATTTTTGATTGTGCAATTAAGCACGAGATCAACAAACAAAAATAGTAAGTTTCTAGTCGATCATCTAAAGCTTAAACAAAACATGAAGTGTAAATTCATTTGTTCTTTGTAAGTTTGCTTAATTATCTGAATATACGTTTACATAAGTATGTATGAATGTAGTTGGTATCCAAGTGCCCAGTAGAAATCTTAAGCATACAACATCGCTGTTGGTGGCATGAGTTTGCTGCTGTGTATACATGCCAGTATAAATGAACCTTCATTCCCATTTAACACGCGTGGTTTCTCAGAGCGTATGCGTACCTTAATCATACACTTGTACTACTGCTGTATGCATATGGCTGTATTAATGTTTCAAACATACAAAAATGCATTAATGGAACAGTATTAAAGCTTCTTACAAGATCCCCATATGTAAATGCTACTTTTCTGATACATTTTAATATACGGGGACATACAAACAAGTAGCACTTACATATGTAAATGCTTATCTTGTAAAAGCCCGTTTGTGCTGAAAATAGTATCGCACCACACGTCGGTTCTCTAAAATTTTGTACAAGACTGAAAATATTACAAAAATTCCACTTCAAATTTATCAACAAATGTACTTAAAACAACAACAACGTACATTCTCTCGCAATTCGCTAGAATTTGAATTTATTCGTAGAAAAATGGAGTTCACACTAATTCACTCATATAGCAAGCATCCTTCAAGAATGCATACAACCGATTTCTACTGGGTGTAAACAGACGTGCAGCCGTGAATATGTCAAATAAGCATGATGCAATAATACAAGGTGTTTTCGGTTGGCAGCTTCTCGCTCTAATTCCGCCACATTGGTCGCGTTCATAAGACGTAGCTGTTTAGCTCATCTGCTGCGAAACTGCTGGCAACTGTTGAACACAACAATCACGTCCTAGAAACGGCTTGATGAATATGCTGCCAAATGAACAGCTGATAAATGTAAACAAATGCAAACAACAAAAACAAATTGCAACAAATAGAGATAGTTGCGCCGATACTATTTAGAATTCAACGCTCAGCGACCGCCGTGTGGAAAAAATCGTTCAATGTTACAATGAATTAAACAGTGTAAAATTATATAGCAAACATCTTAAAAACATATTTAGAAACCTAGTATTAATATAAAATAACTTAGTTACTTTATCACGTCAGTAATATAAAATATAATAAATTTGTTTGCAACTGCCACCTAACAAAGCGGCGTTAAATTTAATATAAGCGACATAAGTCTTTTCGATCAGCTGTTTACGCTAAGCCCAACACGTTGAGTTCAGGTAGCGTAAAAATTTTCCGCTGGAAAAAATGGCGGAAAGTTGCCAACTGTTGGGCTGAGCGTAACTACTCAACTGTGTGTTTCTAAGACAAACTGCCAACGGTTACCCAACAGCTACGACTTATGAACGCGCCCATTGACTGCCTTAAGCTGAAATTAGTCAAGAACGTAAACCTACCGGCACGTAAACCCGAGTCAGCTGACACGATCTGTCTTACCAAAGCGCCATGTAAATGAAAAATCAGCATCGCAGAATTTTTCTGTAGTTGTAGCCCGTAGCGCAGAAATCTGCGGAGTTTAGATTTTACCGTGTCACCTGATTTCTCCTTCTTTAGATGGTTGCCACTTCGTCAGTTTTGCAGATGGTAAAAAAGATATAAGTTCCTATTCAAAATATGTTTAAAATATTTGAAATTTACTATTAAATAAGGTTTTTGTTGAAAACTAAGTAGTTTATATTTAGCTACAATCTATTATAGCACGAAAAATTGTGGTTGAAAGGGTAAGTTTATGAAAAGGCATTGAAGAGTGGCAACAGTGTAGTAAGCAACACTGAGGGCTCCAGTAATCGACAAAATCTGCGTATACAGACTGCGTTTAAGTATACGTTCTGCGTTCTCGACTAATTTCAGCTTTAGGTGAAACAGTGTTACTTCTTTAACAGATCTTTGCCTAATAATAGGTTTGTTCGTCGAGCAAAAAATTTTTACGAATTATCACGATTTTTGCCCATGATGCAATAATACAAGGTGGTATCGGAACACCTAAAGAATACTAGGGTTGACTTCGCCAGAGTGCAGCACTCTTTGAACAAAATGACTTTTTTGGGAGGGTAGAGGGGGTCCTACACATCACAAAACTGAAAACCAGGCGGCGAGGAAACTCATAGTTTACGAGTAGATAATTTGTTGTTAAAGTTGAAAATTTCACCTAACAAAATGTACGATAACAAACCATTTCAAACAAATACAAGTATGGAGAAAACACACATTCCAACTAAATTAAGCTCTTTGAACTTTTATCTATTTCATATTTTATTAATTTCATTATTTAACGATGAGGAACACGCTTAAAAATTTGTTTGCTTTTCTTTAGAGAACCCAACCAGTATGAAAGGGCAAGTATGGACAGTTACAGAAACGAAGATGGCCGCATTTGTGATTAAGTGTTGCCAGAATACGTTTCAAAATGCGTTGCCGGAGGTTCAAGCGTAAGAATAGTTGTGTTTTTTTACAAATTATCCAGTAACTTGCCAGTAACTCTCCAGTAACTTTATTTCTAAGAATTCGCTCTCATAGAAAAAATTTGCAAAAAAGTACGCGAACGCTTTTCCAGTAATAATTTGCAAGTTTCATGAACAGCTGATAAATTGGTTGTTTGTTCGCAGCATATTCCCAATAAAACGATATATTTTATATTTAAATATGTTTGTTTTGAAAATTTCCACAATAAAAATCCACAAACAGTTTCCTTATTAGTTTAAATTTCATCCAGCAACATGCGATCAGCTGTTTTTCGTACTGGCAAATTCTTACAAGTAAAAATTTATCCAGTAAAATCCAGTAAAAACTTGCAACTTCAGCTGTCATTTTTCGCTCTCTCAATTTCCCCTACTTTGCAAGTTTTTGCGTACGAAAACGCCAAAACATGAAAATTCGTAAAAACTTTTACTGGATTTTACTGGAAATGAGTAAAAAAACGCAACTAATATTACAAAGGCTAATATGATAAGTTCTATTTTATTATGAGTTCTATGAGAGAAGTTTTGCTCAAAAATACTTATGCTCATTTTCTTCGAACACGGAAAGAGAACTCTACTTTGTGAGGGTTATAACCCCTAATCGCGGCCGCACGCCACCTACGCAGAAATAATTTCTGCTCAGAAATACTTCTGCTTATTTTCTTCCCCACACAGAAAGAGAATTCTACATTGTTAGGGTTATAATCCTTAAGCGCGGCCGTAGGAGAAGGAGAGCAGACTGTCGAAGGTAACTCCGAGGATTTTCGGGTTATTCACCGTCGGTATTGTTACGCCATCGACGTGAATACCCAGTGGCAGTCTGACCTCCTTCGTCCAGGTGGTGAAAAGGGTTGCAGGGGATAGGGCAGGGTTGGGTTCTCTAAGGTCGGTGTTATGCAGACAAACTTTTGTTTGCCAAATTAAATGGCGGCTGCTTAGTTTGCTCGGAGGTGGTTATGTCGAGTTTGGCACAGGGTTGCACGTTCATTATGGTTTTCATGGCTATTGCCAACACGAAATGAGAAGTTCAGATGTACATAACGCGCACAATTTAAAATTTTTGTATATGACAACGGATTTGCTGCAGTTTGACCAAACAAAATTAGTTTGCTGTGAGAGTCGCCAAACTCGCTCTCTCCGAGTTTGCTGAAACAATTGCACGCAGTTTGCCAAACAAAATTTCTGCATAACACCAACCTAAAGAAAAGTAAACAAATTTATAAATGTGTTCCTCATCGTTAAATAATGAAATTAATAAAATATGAAATAGATAAACGTTCAAAGAGCTTACTTTAGTTGGAATGTATGTTTTCTGCACACTTGTATTTGTTTGAAATGGTTTGTTATCGTACATTTTGTTGACTGAAATTTTCAACTATAACAACAAATTACTCGTAAACTATGAGTTTCCTCGCCGTCTGGTTTTAAGTTTTGTGATGTGTAGGACCCCCTCTACTCTCCCAAAAAAGTCATTTTGTTCAAAGCGTGGTGCACTCTGGCGAAGTTTTCCCGAATACTGACCTTTGAGCTAGAGAAAAAAAAGTGGGCGTGGCCCGCCCCCTTTTCCGGATTTTAAGGATATTTTTTTTTGTGCAAATTGACAGGGGGGCTAGACGTGGAATTTTCAACATTTTCAAAAGCTTATATTTCGAAAACTATTGAACCGATTTTCTAAATATGGACACAGTTGGATAGGTGATTGGAGGGCCTTTCATTCGATATATATATCTATGTATATAATGTATACACGTTGCGAGTAAAGGTAAAAAACGAAATTATGGAATTTTTTTATAAAAATTTATGTTTTTCTTTACAAAAAATACGTAATTAACTATATTAGCAGATATGTTTCTCAGAAAAAGCACAAAAATACCGTTAATTTGATATATGACTTGTAGCAAAAAATTCTTGTGGACATCATATTTGACTAAATATATATAAAAATATAGTTTTATATGAAAAAGGAAGAGCGCCGCAGGCTAAAATTGATATATTTATTTATTTATTTATTTAATCTACTCAACAATAAAAAAGAAGAAAAATAATACCAAACAAAAAAAAACGCATATAAAATAAATATAAACTTAAAGAGCCACTGTGTGCCAAATAGGAAAAATTTGATTGCATTATCGTACTGTGCTATAAAAATAGTTAGTGCGTATCCCGTGCCTTGATTCTGTTAAAAATAATTAATTAAAGGAAAAATTTACTATTGTATTGAAATGGACGCCTTAACAACCAAAGTTAATGAGCTCAATGGGGGTGTTAATGCTCTTCTCGAGCAGATTAGGAGGCTTGAGGTACGACTTAGTGGTATCGAAAGCAACGGTGTCGCTCTGGAATCTAGGCTAGGAAGGATTGAGTCTAATAGCGCAATTCTGGACCAAAATCTGGGCAGGATTGATGGACGGTTAGGTAGCGTAGAACAGGCTAGCATGAGAACGCAGCCGCAAGGGGTGCCGGCAGCGGTGCGAACACCACTATCGGAGCAGGACTTGAGGGACATTGGCAGACTCCCTGATTGTGTGAAGGAGCTGCAAGTTTTTGAGGGTAGTCCTTCTCAATACATCTCGTGGGTTCACAACGTCGAGGGCATTTTGACTGATTACGAAGTGGTCAAAGAAAAGCCTTTGTATCGCGCAATCCTTCAGCATGTAAGGCAAAAAATTCGGGGTGGAGCGGATGCAGCCTTGGTTGCGTATAACGTTTTTGAGAGTGACTGGACAGAGATAAAAAGAGTCCTTTCGCTTCACTACGCCGATAAGAGGGATATTCGCACCCTCGAACATCAACTTAATCAGTTAGCTCAAGGGAATTCGAAATTGGATGAATTCTACGCAACTGTTAACCACCAACTGTCGCTTATTGTAAACAAAATTAAGTGTGACGATTACTCACAAGAGACAGTATCAGTCCTTGTGGAAACATATCGAAACAGAGCTCTAGATGTATTCATCCGGGGTTTGAGTCCCGAGTTGTCCCGCATGCTCATCGTACAAAAACCAAAAACATTGCCAGAAGCTTACTCAGCTTGCCTGGACATTCAGAATTTAACGTTGCGGAATACGATAGTTCACACAGGCTCAATGAACAGAGTCGTTGTCCCAACGAATATTTTATCAACACAGAGGCCACCGCTACCGCCACGCGCACGCTCGAGTTATAACTGGGTGAACAGGAATCACAATTCGGAATATAAGAGGACCCCGTACAACAGGCTCCAGGTCAACCAAGGAACGAGTTCATCAGCTCCAGCCATACCAACTGCCCCTAAACCCGTCGAGAAAATGGAAGTTGACGGTAGTGTCCAAACGAGGCAGGTCAACTATATGAACCGACCCTCAGGCACAAACGCTTTTAAGAGGGGGCCTACATCATCAAAAGGTGCCTTCCCAAAACAACAAAAATTGTATAATATAGAAGCCATTAGTCCTGAAGAAGGACATGATTCTTCAAATTACTGTGAACGTACAGAGGACGATTCACAGCAGGTAAATTTTTTGACGACCGGGCCACCAGCTTATTTCATATGAGGAGTAGTGCCTCATATTCAAGCATACCTTACCTGACGTGCCTGACCAACAGCAGTACTGCCTTAAACTTCCTTATAGATACGGGGGCAAATAAAAATTTCATAAAGCCTACTCTAGCTGCTCGTTCAATACCAGTCGATCCACCTTTCTCAGTGCAGACGGTGGCAGGACCAATAGTAATAAACAGGAAAATTTGTGGAAAATTTTTCCATAATGTAGGGAACGACACCAGGACAACTTTTTACACATTACCAGGACTTCAATCTTTTGACGGCATTATAGGGGATGATACGCTAAAGGCACTCGGTGCGGTGATAGATAGGAAAAACCACATTCTCACAATCGAGCCGAACATTAAAATTCCACTGAGAAACAAAACAGTTGGAAGCATTAATTTTTCTGAAGCATCTGAAATTCCTAAAGCAGTAGTTCCTATTTTAAAGTCTCTTGTAGAAAAGTACTCCCACTTGTTCGGACCACTGAATATAAAAACAAACATCAAAACCTCAGTTCGAGCTGAGATAAAAACCACTACAGATGAGCCCATATACACAAAAAGTTATCCATATCCTGCCAACATGAGGGAAGAGGTAGAGAAACAGGTAACCGAATTGCTCGAGGAAGGCATCATACGGCCATCTAAAAGTCCGTATAATTCTCCCATTTGGGTAGTTCCGAAAAAACCTAAGCCGTCCGGTGAAAAGCAGTATAGAATGGTTGTAGATTTCAAACGTTTGAATGCGGTTACCGTGTCAGACGCTTATCCTATTCCAGATATTAACGCAACACTGGCCAGTCTAGGGAATGCTAAATATTTCACGACGATTGATCTTACCTCAGGCTTTCATCAAATTGCGATGAAGGATTCAGATATACCCAAAACCGCGTTTTCAACTATGAATGGAAAATACGAATTTCTGAGACTACCTTTTGGATTGAAAAATGCGCCGGCTATATTCCAACGCATGATTGATGACGTCCTTAAAGAATATATTGGGAGGATATGCTATGTGTATATTGATGATATTATTGTCTTTGGGAAAAATACTGATGAGCATTTAAAAAACTTAGAAATAGTATTCGAAAGGCTCGCGGACGCTAATTTGAGAGTGAATCTGGAAAAAACTAAATTTATGAGAACAGAGGTAGAATTTCTGGGTTATGTGATTACGTCTGATGGGATGAAACCGGATCCTTCGAAGGTCCAGGCTATAGAGAACCTTTCGGCCCCAGAAACATTAAAAGAACTGAAAAGTTTTTTGGGAATGACGTCGTATTACCGAAAGTTCATTCGAGATTACGCGAAAGTTGCAAAACCGTTAACCAATCTCACGCGGGGGGAAAACGCGCAAGTTAAGGCCAGCCAATCGAGAAGAGTACGCATTAATCTGAACCGTGAAGCCCTTCAAGCTTTCGATAATTTAAAAAAACTACTAGTTTCCTCAGATATTCTTGCTTTCCCAGATTTCGAAAAACCATTTAACCTTACCACTGACGCTTCAAACTATGCCATTGGTGGGGTGCTGTCTCAAGGAGAACCAGGAAAAGATCGGCCCATCGCCTACATTTCAAGATCCTTAACTAGAACGGAGGAAAACTACGCCACAAACGAGAAATAAATGTTGGCAATAGTTTGGGCTCTAGATAATTTGAGATCTTACCTATATGGGGCGAAAAAAATTAGAATTTTCACTGATCACCAGCCTCTCACGTTTGCGTTGGGAAGTAGGAACTACAACGCAAAGTTGAAGAGGTGGAAGGCGAGAATAGAAGAGTATAACCACGAATTGATTTACACTCCTGGTAAATCAAATGTTGTGGCAGACGCTCTTTCGAGAATTCCATGCCAGGCAAACCATTTAACAGCATCGTT